AACATTTTGAATACGATGAGTCTGTTTTTTTTTTTTGGACCAGCTGTATATAGATTCGATGTCATCGCTATCACTGTTCTGTCCCGATCATGTTTAGAATTGTGCTTTGTTTTCGAAATTACACTTACCGCAATTCGTTTACAATGTGCAATATAAATGAATAGATGCACTTCCTGTCCGCAGCACTTACTCTTCCAATTGAATATATTACACTTCAAGCCGTTTCTCGACCAAAGTTAAAATTAACAAAAAAAAACTATTTCGTTTTGCGAAATTGATTTACCGCGCAAAACTATTGTGGTATGGTATTCAGCTGTTTATATCGAATGAGTTCGAACTGTGAATCAAAATTGGTGTCGTATCGATATGATTGCTTTTAAATTTACTCATTGAATGAATAAATAACCTTATATTTTGTATTTGTTGCTTCCGTCTTTCGTGTGTAAGACCGTGTATGTGTGTTTCTATTTTTCTAGATGGTCTTTCCAAATGTTCAACTTCACAACAACAAATTTTTTTTTAAACCATTCGAATATGTACTATTGAAGTCAGTCACACTTATTATTATTATTATAATAGATTTAAAATAATTGTATTGGCCGAAGCGCGCTCGTGTTATACCATATCAAGTTTACTTCTCGAATGAAATACTATATATATATTGTCTCTCACTCTCTGTTGATAATATAATTTTGTGATGTTTGCTAAAATATATATATATTCATTGTAGTTGTGAATGTGATTGTAAACGTAGCCGAATGAGTGTTGCACGTGTTATTGTTGTTGTTTTCTAGTCGTCGACATCATCACCATCATCATGGTTATTGTCTACGTTGTTGTCGTTATCGTTATTGTTGTTGTCGTCGGTTGCTTGTTTTGTTAATGGTTTTTTTTTTTTCACACAGTGGCATGAGATTGAAACAAAGTACTTCTTTTCGACACAATTTACTAGTCATCTACTGATAAAAATCCAACTCAAATTATTTTTTTTATCATGGTATTGTTTTTAAAAACTAAGAAAGAAAGAGAAAAAGAGACAGAAATAGAATACCAGTCCGAACATTTTATTTTTGGACTTTCTTTTTTAAAAGAAACATTTGACCGTTGAACACATGGTCACAAGAACAATCGTTGTTCAAATTATACAGATGAAACGAAACAAATTTGAATATTGATAAATGGCGGGGAACGATATCGACCGAAAAATTATTCAGTTGAACTCTTTTCGTGTTGCGAACACGCTTTGTTTTTTTTTTATTTATTTTTTTTTTTTTTGATGAAATAGACATCACACATCGACATTTTCAAGTTTTCGCCTTGTACACAAATCAAATTATTCGCTAAATAATAATTTTTGTGGAATTTTTCATGTCATTTAATGATATAGGTTCAGTTTAAGTGACAACAAATGCGTTGAGCTTTTCATGTTTACGTGTGTGAAGAGAGAGAGAGAGAAAAACATGGAACGCTATAACCATATACAGTTGACATATGTATGATGGCATCATATGACTGAAATTAGTCAATGTATTGCCATTCACTTTTGAACTGAACCAAGTCTATCGTATAATGTCAATGTTTTTTTCTAATGTTCTCTCTGCCTCTGTTTTTCACTTCTTCTTCCTCTTATTCTTCACATACATTTCTCTCTTTCTTGCTCTCTGATCATTTGATGATGAATGTCGTTGATTAAAGTTTGTGTTTCACATAATAGCAAAATACATTGATATCGGGCCTTATCTGTTTGGATTTTTATTTTTATTACATAAAACAATATGAGATCGGTGATAACCATTTGCTGTTTGTGTATGTGTGACGTTTTTTTTTTGTTTATTTGATGATCTTCACACTGATCAATTGTCATGTACATTGGTATGTAATCACACGAGCCACAATCTCCGCGTCATATTGACGGCGAACAACAGAAGTTGAAAAAAATCCAAGAAGTTACTTACTTGTTTGATCACCTCGTGTGTGTCGTTAGAATATTCGTTTATCCAATACGTCTTACCAAAAAAAATACCTTTCAATCCATTACCGGTGCTGAAATACAGACACACAGAAATAATTTATTTCGATTCGAATGAAGAGACACACAAAATATTTTGTTGTTGAGTTTAGTTCAAGCATTTCTTTTCTTATTAAGTTTTTTTTTGTTGTGATGGTATTTTTATTAAATGTCAAAAAAAAACCAAAAAAGGAACAATTTTACACTTTTTGATTTTATGAATCGGAAAAAAGAATTGCAATTAAATAATTATGTAACGATATCATTAAAATGCAAATGAATCAAGTCTCATTTCATCTCAATCATTATTCTTTTTCTCATTTCTTTTCTATATTTCTCTGCTCTTAGTGTATGACTTGATTGTGAAGATGGTGTATGTATTTTAATGTATTGAAAATGTTCACTTTCACTATTGAAATGAAACTATATCCCTTTTTTTTGTCTATTTATAGTAGTAAATCATCAAAACACATGTATAAAATATTGAAAAGTCTACAATCATTAAGTCTCTAGAAATTGATGGATGTTCGGACAGTGGTTTATTACATTTTTAATTTCTGTCACATTTTGTCAAGCGATTGAAAGAGCTAATGTTTATTTCTAGAAAATGAATAAAAGAGACAAAAAGGTACAATGCCATTTCATTACTTAATCAAATATTCGATTTTCGACACAAAAAAAAAACTCCTTTATTTTTACACGCAATTTTAATTTTTTTTTTTTTGGTTTTTCTTATAAAAAAAGAATTCCTAATTGTTTGCAAAAAAAATTGACTAATTCACATTCCTAAACCACATTAATTTCATTATTCGTTATTCCCGTGCTCGAAAATTCATTTTCGGTCTAACATCGCGTTTCTTTTATTTTAAATTTTGTTTTTGTCTTTTTTTCTAATTTATTTTAATCAACACGTGCTGTGACGTGCATTAGCTACCTTTCTCGATGAAAATATTTATATTCAGTTTAGAAATCATTTCATTTTTCACATGGTTTCATCAATTTTTAACCTAATGTCATTTATTTTAATTCTTTTTAAACGACGATGAACAATTCAATCATTTGCACATTTTTTTTTATTGAAACAAAAAGTAAAACAATGAAATAAATCGGCAGCATAAATCAAACCGAAACTTACTATCTAAAATAATGACAATTTTGTTTTTAAGGTATTTTATTTGTTTGTTGTTGTTCTTGCTGAGCGTAACTCGCGCTCTCCTTCTCTCTCTCTATCTATATGATGTGTGAGAATTTTTCTAAAGAATATTTTTTTTTATCAATTTTCTCATCTCAATGTGAATGGATCTTGAAAAAAGAATTTGTTTGTTTTATTTTTGTTTCATCAAAATCGTTCATTTGGTCGTCTTTACAGTAAGCTTTGTTTCTATCTATAAAAAAATGTCATTATCAAAAAATTAGTCGAATGCTTTTTTTGTTTACTATTTTTTTTCTCTTTGCCACCTTTTGCCTTGACTTGGATAGTGCGAATGCAAAGGTTTCAGTGTGATATTTAATATAGTGGGTAGAAATGTTTCTATATTCAATTCATGTATTATTATTACTTTTTTTTTGTTCGGTTTGGTTTGTTGCACCTTTGGTGTGTTTTTAAATCGTAATATATTTATATATACGTAATAAGGATGGAAAGAATAGTCGATAAGACAGAGTGAAAGAGGAAAACCTATGTATTTTCTTTCTTGTTAAATAAATGGTTGCAACGAGAAAAGGATCTTAAAATTAGATTAGATAAAAGCATAGTCGAAAATGAAATAGTTGGGTTTCAGTTGCCTGGAAGAGTATATAGCTTATTGGAAAAAAAGGAGTGGGGTAAACAAAATTAATAAGCGTTTATCGTTACTCTCTCTATTTCTATAAATGTTAAGAGAAAACAGGATGTTTACGCGATTCAATTAATTTAAATCCATAATTGTGTATTACACATGTATCTGTTCAATATCTGATAATGAATCTACTTATTAAGAATAATAAATTTTAAACGAAAAAAAAAACACTTTAACAAAACGAAAAAAACGGGGTGTGTGTGTGTGTTTGGTTAATACACTTAAAAAGGATTTAAAGCGTTATTTGCACCATTTTGAGTTCAGTTGTTGTTTCATTTCTATATTATGCAGAATATATTATTTTGATCCATGTGTGTGTGTTTTTTTTTCTCATTTGGGTTTTCTTGGATTATTTTCACTAGTGTTTTACATTGATTACTTTTTTTTGCTTTAAATTTAAATCTGTGGTGACTACAGTAAGTTTTACTTAATATTTATTCATTTTCGATTCGATCATTTTCACTTTCTCTGCTATACATATATATTCTTCATTATTTTTCTTTACTTCATTTTCCCCGTTTTGTGATAACGAATCTCAATTGTTTACAACATACAACAATTTTTTTTCTCGATACAATCACGACAAAATTTAAATTCTAACTTAGTTGCAGGAGGGGCGCGCATATGGTGTATCATTTCAATTTAATAATTGGTTCCATTGCAATTTCGGACGGTAAACTAATCTAGACCCAAAAACCAAAAAAAAATGAACTTCAGTCGGAAATGGATTTTTTCTTGTCATGAAATGAAACTGAGTCAGCCAAACGAAATCAAACAACATTTGCTCAGCATAATTGTTCAAATGCAATAAAATTGAATGATTTCATCAGACAAATGAAGTAAAAAAAATTGTAATTTCGGTTTGTATACTGTTTGGAAGTAGGTTCTGTGTGTGTAAAAAAATGCTGAGATAGAACTGGAAGTTGTTACCTGTGTGAGATAAGAAAAGAGTATGCATTTTTTTGTGTTCAAGTGTCCATTCATTTTCATCATTTGATATATTTCGTAACATACATTTTCAATGCAGATTATGTTTGTGTGTGTGTGTGGTTGTGAGTATGTGTATGTGATTTCGTTAAATACCGATTAAAAAAGAAAAACATTTAGTTCATCATTTTCATCGCGTATTTTCTATATTATTATTCTGTATATTCTTTTTTTTTTTTGGTAATTTTCTTCATTCAATTTAAGTTTTTTAGTAGTTTCATATAAAAATAGGTATTTTCATCTCTGTTCATTTCGCTTGTTTCTTATTACATATAATTTGTTTCATTTCATGGTTTTTGTCTCTGTTTTTCTTTTGTTTTTTTAAATCCATATGAATATGTTCCTATATCATACATATAAATTCTAAGAATACATTTTTGTTTATACACAAATCGTATTTACGTCAATGACTGAACGTGCTAATAAACATAATAAACAACGTAAAATAAATGATTTAGTGTTGCCACCCCAAGATGCAATGAACGGGGGGGAATTGTGGTTGGTTGGTCACCGAGCCAATTCAAATAGATCACGTGTCGTCGTCACACATTTTTTTCTTTTTTCTATTTCGTTGCAAACGAATCGAGCCGGTTCTATTTTCTATATTATTATTTTTCTTGGTGTCGCCAAAGAGTTGACTCCAATGGAAGTGAAATTGTCTGTGCTTCATTTTATGTTGCGACATTCAATTTTCCACAATTCAATTTCTACCGAACGACATCGGATCTCTTAAATTGAGCCGTTTTTACAAGTGATTCTACTAGCTTAGTTTGTTGGTTTCTACATCAAATATAAAATACATATATATGTTTTGAATGGGGGCGTGTGTTTGATGGTGGTGACGAGAGGATGTTATTTTGTTTGCTCTGCAAAATGCTATCGACAGCGTGTGCTCGATGAGCGATTGCTTCTGTCAAATAAGAGATGCAATTACATAATATATCATAAATTGAATTGTGTACATAAAAATAGAATCGGTACGTATGATTTTGAATGTATTTTTGTTTGCATATGTATGTGTGAGTGTGTGTGTGTTTTTGATCATGTTGTTAATGTGTAAATGACAGTTTTAATGCAGAGTGTTCATTTTTTCTTTAATACGTATGTAAAATGGAGAAGTTTTTCTGTTGATAAAGTTTCCACTTCTTTTTCTAACACTAAGCTATTTTATTCTCTCTCTCTCTTTTCATTCACTGGATTCATTAGTTTTGTGTGTGTTAAATAATATAATTCTGATTTTGTATCCGGTTGTTGTTTTTGGTTTATTGATGTTGTTTGCTATTCCTGCCACAAATTGTTTGCAGTGACAATTGTTGAATCATTTCGGTCGGGTGTGTTGATGTTTGCATGCAATGTTTATATAGCTGCCCTTCAACCTGATTATCTTCGTCGAGCTACATTTTCATGACTTTCCACCCAATTGAATATAGCATTCTGAGAACGTGACACCCATTCCACATTAGCAGCAACACTTTTCAATGTCATGTTCAATGTTCGCATGCCCGGTCCATCACCGAATCGATGCACCAACGATTTCAACTACGTATCAAAAATGAATGAAAATAATTGATTACATTGTGTAACATTTAAACATATTATAACAAATCGAGGCAGGCATTGTATTACATACTTCATCATAATCGAATTTCGTCGCACCATATTGTGTGATTGCTGATATCACTTTGGCAAAATTAACACTTCCGGCTCCCATTTTTGACTCCAAATCATACCATTTGGCTTGAAGGAACCGACAAGCCATCGCACCGCCGGTCGGTGTGCCGGCAATCGCTTGCAATACTTGAACAACTTCGGTTGGCGGCAACGTTATCACATGCGATAACAATCGATTTTGGAACCTGCACAATAGCAACATTTTAATGTAATGAAACCGACGGAATGTGAAATAAACAAACCATACCATGCATCTTTTGTTTTTCCTAATGCTCGCAACAATTGCAAACGTTCGGTTGTTCCTTCTGGAGAGCCACGTAACGATATGTATCTTTCCCAACAATATTGCCAGAATGTGTATTCACCAGATAATACAGCGCCAGTGTACACAACCTGCAGAAGAAGAGAAACACTCAAGTAGAAACGAATACATTGTGAAATAAGACAAATTTCACTTACTTCTCTCAAATTGGCCGGTATAACTGAGCCAATGGTAAGGAAATTTTGTAGCAATTGTTTTGCCTGATTTATGGCTTCGGAATCTTCCCATAGAACTGCTGCTAACAACACTTCAGGTCTTAATAATCTACATTTTGAAATGAATAGAAACGATTCAATTTTGTGCTCCATTGAAAGTTAGCTTTGAATTCGACTTACTTGACTTCATCTTTTCCGCTATTATTCCAGCCCATTGCAGCCACTGGTTTCGATAGAATTTGTTTCACCACTTCGGTCAACATCAAAAAGCATTCCGAATACTTAAGAATTCTGCGCCATTTCTCCAAATGACGTAGCCCGGTTGTTATTGGACCCCAGTTTTGCTCTTTCGGCAAATATGACACTAAATTCATTGTTATTTGGCATGGCATTAAATTCGCATGACACAATGTAAATGCATCCGATATTAAACCAATACGATCCTGAAAATCAATGGCGAACGAAATTGGAAATTAATTGGTAATTCAATTTGCGTTCTAATGTATGTTGCATACCAATGGTGAAAATGTTTCGTGATTTGCTTTTAATTCTTCGACGATGTAACCCCAATTATCCTCATCATAAAGAACACGATAGTAACCCGTTTGACCAGAATTGACTTTGATCCATTTTACACCGATCGGAATTGTGAATGTCACTGTGTCAAATGAAAAAAAAGTCAATCAATATGTTTCGCTGATGGAGTTTTTTTTTTTTCAAACTTAATTTACCATTTGAATTATGGAACCAAAGAGCATCGGTGACATTGGCAACATTTGTTATGTAATTAACCGGGAAAATCCATTTGGTGGTTGATTTCTTTTTTGTTGGAGCCGGTGTTGTTGTGGTGCTCGATGTTGACGTCGATGTAAAATTCAACAAATATGGATCGTCCAAAATCGCTTGAAATTCCATTGGATGAAAATCTTTTTGCGATATTGTAACCGTGTTGCCCACTTTGGATACAGTCAATAATGGAAAACTTTCCAATGTTGTCCATAAGTTCATCATTTCTTTGATATTTTTCGTATTGTTCACTTTCTTCGAGCAAATGTTCCATAGATCAATCGGTTCGGCCGTTTGAAATTTGTATTGAAGTAAAAATGATCCCAAACATGATCGGAAATTGGTGTCGCCCATTGAAACGTGCAACATTGCCATAACGGCTGCCGATTTATCAATGAAAAATTCATCATTTTTACCATCCTCACTGGTGCCGGCGATAATGCTGTCCCATCCTTGAATCGCATCAATGTCCATGGCACGCGTTGCAATGTGCATCAATTGCATTTCGTCCATTGGCCATTCGGTTTTCAATGGTGTTAAAACTAAACGGCCTAAATATTTGATCAATCCTTCCCATAACCATGAATGTTTCCATATTTTTGGCGATGTTATTCCACCGAGAAATTGTTTTATAATTGCTTCGGATATTTTGATGGCCGACAAATGATACTGTTCGGTTGTAATTGCATCTTGATTTTGTAAAAATGCCGTTTGCAACGTTATCAATCCCAAAGAACTGATCATCTCACGGTCCAACGATGGCAAAGCAACGAAATCTAGAAAAGAATTTTTTTTTCTAAATTTGGTTTTTATTTTTTGAATGGATGAAATTTTACCTAATTTCGCCAATGGATATTTAACGTTCAACCAATCCTGAAGATATTCGAGCACATCACGTGACATATCCAACACAAATTTCGAACGTTGTAAAATCTTTTGCGGTGCATAGAATGTATAGGATGGTGCTGTTCGAAGTTCATTCTCATCAATGAGATCGGTATCGTTGGACGAACCAGTTCGATTCAATGATTTATCGGCCAATGCATTTGCGGTGATGTTTTTAACAATTTGCAATTGTTTGGTCAAGGAAGTTGTTATGATGTTTTTAATAGGCCGTTTATCTGAACGGTACGTAAAATTATCCGATGATGATTTTGTGGTGCGAGCCAAAACATCAGGTGATTGGGTTGTAACTGTTGTTTGATATGTTGAAGATGGTTCCAGCGATTCACGTTGAAAATCACTTACAATCCATGCAACAGCATCCGGTTGTAAGGCTGGCGTTTCAATGAAATCATCTCGCAGCTAAATGTTATCGTCGGCGTTGTTGGTTTTTTCATTCGGTGTTTTTTTTTTTAAAACAAAAGGGAAATTGCACGGAAACAATGAGTTGTGTCATGTTTCATTGGATTGAGAAAGAAAAGAGAGAGAGAGAGAGAGAGAGAGAGAGAAAGGGGAGAAAAAAGAGCAACGATTTAATGAAAAAAGCAGTAATAACACCAAAAAAGACCCTAATGTGTCAACACCGACATATACAATTCCGAAATTCATATTTATTTTATCCGTGCACAAAAGTACACAAAGGCAATGCACTTATTCATAATGAATGAATCACCATGCATACTCGTGGTAAAGAGTGAAAAACAATGAAAAAAAAGTATATCGAAAACAATGGCCACAATTATAGAAAAGCAAAGTGGTTATATTTGAAGTTAAAAATGCTTCGTGTTTCATATTTTTGGAGGAGGTAACACAAAGGCATATGAATTAGAAAAACATATGATTTTTAAATAAGGAAATTAACGTAAAACAGCATGAAAAAAATGACATCTACTTGCAGAATTGAATGGATTGAAAAAACTGAGAGAGAGAGAGAGAGAGAAAGATAATAAAGGGTCTTACAGGAGTAAGACGAACTTTTCCGCACGGTGGTAGATACGTACTTTATTAATCTAATGTATTCGGCATCGAAATATTTTTTAATTTAATAACAGAAGTACTCGCAAAAGATTTTTCACACTATCATGATGAACTCATTTGTATGTTATTTGAAAGTATTCTATTATTTTCTAACAAAACACTATAAAAAAATATGTTTGACGTTAATTTTGCCATAGAAATTATTTTTGAAACACTTTTCATAACTAAAGTCACAAAAAATTTGGATTTTTGTATGGGAGCTATGTCTGTATGCTACCTTAATGGCATGAAACTTTGTACAGGTTATTTTTTTCACAAAAAAATAACATTCGGAGGGTTTGGAGAAATTTCAACCAAAATTAAGAGTACCTCCCATACAAAATATTCGTTTTTGAGCCAAAAATTTTGTATGGGAGGTACCCCTAATTTTGATTAAAATCTCTTCAAACTTTCAGAATGTTATTTTTTTGTGTAAAAAATAGTCTGTGCAAAGTTTCACGTCATTAGGGTAGCATACAGACATGGCTCCCATACAAAAATTCAATTTTTTTGTGAAACTTTTTTTTCAAGGAAACTGTATCAAAAATTAATTGTATCTCAAAACTAACGTCGGATTCGGTTTTCTCGTGCCAAAAAAATATGTATTTTTGATTGTTTAAGTCTACATTAAGTATGACTTTTGGACGAAAATTGGACTCTTTTTCATAGGTATCACTCCAGGCATAAAACTTTTTTCCATCAACCAAAGTCGCTCAAAATCTAATGATTTCTATTCCTTGCGACCCCCAATCGTCCTGTTCAGTCAGTTTTTGAATTAAGTTTCTACGATGAGCGCAATCTTGCTAACAAATTTTGCGTACGACGTACAACGTACGACGTACAGATTAACAAAAACCATGTTTAAAAACGCCAAATTCGTGTTCTCTGACCCCAATAATAGGTAGAAAACATGTTTCTGAAGTTTCCAAAATTTTGACCGATTACAATACTTTTCACCTTACACTATGTGTGCGGAAAAGTAAAAAGGATTTGGTTGGAAATGCGCAATATGTGTGCGGTGCGGTACAAAAGAGCAAATCGAGTCATTCATTGTTGCTGCAAGGGAGAGAGAAAAGCCGTGCACTTTTTTTTATATTGGAGTACGTGTAAAAAGTGTCAACATGCACAGTGCACACGGTACTCGGGGCAAAGCAACACAACAATTTGCTGATCAGAAGAGAGCAATGCGATGAAAGAACGAGTAACGTCACCTAAGCACGGCATTTCTCTGACTCGTTGTCATTATCATTTTATTCGCACTATCTTTTTTTTTTATTCATCATGTCGTTGCCTTTGATTTTTTTATCACTCTTATCTTGATTTCATATCAAAGAATGATACTAGACGTCGAATGTCGCATGCACATTTTATCATAATAATTTTTATTAAATTTTGTATCTTAATGTAGTCGTTAATTTTCTAAAAAAAAACCTTTGTAGCAATTAAAAGCATGTCGCACGCGCAATTGCAGTGAATGAAGTAAGCACTTATAATGATAAGCGATAGAACATTTTTGATAAAGAAGGTGGCGACTGAAGGAGTGTCTTTACATGAAGGCTTCACTTTTAAGTTATGTTAATTAAAAATATTGACAAATGAACTTAAGTTTTTTTTCTTCATTCAATTAATATTGCGATATAACAAAAAACTCAAATAGCGTGTTGTATGAGGTCAACAGTAAACAAAATTACACTTGTCGTCTTGATCAAAATGTATCGAAAAATCGGTGAATATTTCTTGGAAATATGCGACTAATTTACTGCATTGTTGGAAACACATTCACGAGTACTACCATTTTCACCGAAAAAAAAACGTTGTGTTTATTGAGGGTGAAAATGAGGGCGAGCATTGCCTTTTTGCTTTCGATGCCATTTAATCTCTGAACATACAGGCGACTTAAGGCCCCTGGGCAAAAGCTGTTGATACATACCAGTCCAATTCCCATGTAAAATCCGACGTCCTCGGTTGATGACACCAACGAATTGGACAAGGCAATATGAAAACGATCACGGAACACAGAGATACGGAATGGTGCCCGAAGATGTGGTTCATCGAAACAAGGGAATGCTTGTCGTGCGCCACCTGGTCGAAATACGGTTGCCGCCAAAAATCTGAAATTGACATAAATTAACAAACATTTATCAATTTAATCTTTTTCGCATTTATCTAGTTTTTAAAAGTTTACCTCTTTCCATTTGCACCATCGTATTGATCAACATAAAATCCTTCTGGTTCGGGTATTAATTTTGAATACCATCGTAGATTTAATGTGAAATTGGTTTTTTTCCGCAAACGATCTTTCAGCTCAATATAGAGCTGTTGACGCGGTGGAAACTCCAAAACCTTTTGAATTTTCAATGCGAATCCTTTGGGACCGACAATTGCCTGCCATTAATGACATTTATTATTAATATCAATGCATTTAAATACAAAATAAAAAATCATTACAAACAATATTGATCAAATTCATAAGAATTATATTACTCCATGGTTGGTGTAGTAATAATTCATAATTTATGGACTGGCGTCTGGCGTCAATTGATTTTAATGTTTGCTGATTACATTCGTTCGTCTTGAATTAATTATGCAAATTTGGTTACCTTTTCCGTAATATTCAAATCTTGTGAATGCAGGACGATGAAATTTGTTTCTCTTTCCACATGAAATTCTATCGTTACTTGACCTAAGCGAGCACAGCATGCAAAATAATAAAATTAATCAAATATATATCATTTCCAATTGATTTCAATCAATATTGACACAATAAATTGTGGTTGCGAAGAAAAAAACAAAATAAATAGAAATAATAGAGTCCATGTTATTTACCTTTAACATCTAATGTTGTTAGATTCGGATGTATTGTTAGCGTGTATCGTAATGGTCTCACGTTGTTCGGCAAATTTGGTAAGAACCATGGAAATGGTTCGCCATTTGTTGCTATCGGGTTGAATGGTAACGAACTATTGTAGTGATCCAAAATATAGCCGGGTGGCATTTTGCCAGCACACGAACAATCTGAAATTGAGAGAGAGAAAAAAATGTGAGACACACGCAGACATATTTTAAAACATGATAGTTAAATGGAAAAACAACGACCAAAAGTCGTTCGGATTTTTTTTTTGATGGAAATAAAATATATTTCATGAATGACTGAAATCGGTTGGCCAATGTGTAATGGATGTTATATGTACTCAAAATTATTATAGACGTTCCGATCGAATGAATATATTCTGTGTTTAAGTAATCCTTATTACGGTGGGGCAAACGTTTTGAGCCGAATCATGTGCAACAGTAGTGGCACTAAATTCAAGAACACTTGAAATCGAACACCGGAAAAAACTGCAAAAGGTGACTGGGAAGTGCATATGCTATACCAGCGTTGTCATCATTTCGGTTGAACATCGGTAATCAATGTCTTAAAGACATTGTCTTTGTTTCGTTCATTTTTCTTCGAATCGTATTTAAGTCCATTTTAAATGAATTTTTATTTTCAGCTTATTTTTTTATGGCTGACCGCATTCGATCTGTTTATTTAAAGAGTAAAAACATTTTCATTCGGTTTCTTTTTTTAATTAAGCCTTTGTGATCACAGACCCTGTATTATTACTTCAATGTTGATGCTTTTACGCGCATTATTTACTCATTCTCCATTCCATTTCAGATAATTGCAGATGCAAATTAGGGATTGCACATACACACACTATCACTCTACCCATCTCTCCCTGTCTCATTCAACCGACTACAAATGTATGTTTATTCATCTGATTTACCAACTAAAATCGGCTTAATTCACGAAACGATACATGCGATTACTTTATATTCTGTTTGTTTAATGTCAAAATTCGAACCCATTTACTCAAACGATTGAGGAGAGAAAATTTTCGAACGCATATACACATGTTCCGATAGAGATTCGTGATAATGCATAACGCCACGCGAATTCACACGAACAAATTAAATGTACGCCATTAAAGTACAAAACGCGCTTGCATGCAGCGTACACAACCACATAACGTCCCTTTTTGGGTTGTTTTTTATTTTAAAATGTCTCAGTTTTGATCCAATAATATCGGGTCCGATTTTTTTTCTTCGTTTGTTTCATTCTGGCTAGACTGCACATATTTTCCAGACAATGCGATTTCAGCCAATGAATGTAAATAAAAACGCCAGTACTGTAATTGTATCATCTATGTGCATGTGAAATAAAAAAAAGAGAAACAAAGAGAAAATTGTTGCAATAGCAGACAGAACGGTGAGCGTGGGCCAAAAACAAGAAACTATTTCCAATTCGTTCACATTTTCGTTCGAATGCTAGAAGAAACCGCACAAAGTGGAATATTCTTTACTTTTGAAAAATGCCATTTATACAGAAGATTTGAGTCGATGATGCATTTCATAAACAAATTTTCCACTTATACGAAAAAAAAGAGTGCTTTTCTTTGTTTTGATGCTTCAGTACACATAAGGCGACCACTTCCATGTTCTTTTTTTTGATGCAGTAATCTTATATACCAAAGATACGATCGACCCGTAAACTGAATGACATTTCCGATTATGTTCAACGTTGTCCGAAAATCCGTTTGAAAAAATTGAAAACCATCGATGCTGCTCCTGCTGGATACAGTGCATATGAAAAGCGAGCTGCATTTTGAGTTCGACGACGATTCTTTTTACAATATCGAAATATTATTAGGATTATGTGTGTTTGTTTCTTGGCACTATGTCAAAATCTTTGTTAATACATGGATGTTATTTTGAATGAAAAAAAAAACGAGCTTATATTTATAATGGTGCACACTGCACACGCATCATACAAGATAGTAGCGGACACTTCATCACATCACATACAGTCTCGCAAAAATAATGGAAAACGAATAAAAAATTGAAAATTGAAAAGTCTGATGTCGGAACAGAGAAATGGGCGAAAACGTATGCTGGAAATCGAAAATCGGATCGATGTTGCCTGAAGCCGTTTAAAGAAAATGCTGCATATACCATATTAATGCGTCATCGAATGAACATAATTTTATTGCCGTAAAAAAAATGTGTTATATTAGCAAGAAAATTGTTAGTCCTTTTTCCCTTCAGTCAAGAAGAGAAACTCACAATTATTATTCGCAATTTTAAACGCGGAAAAAAATGATTTCCGCCATATTACATTTTATTTCATTGGATTAATTCATTTGAATTGATCGAAAGAATGGATAACAAAACGGGTAATGCCGGGTAGCAGAAAAATATGCCTAACACGAAACCGAACGAACGAAATATTCCGGAAGGGAATTTTTCTTTTGATTGCGTAAAAGAGGAAAACTTTGGGTATCTAGACATTTGTGTATGTGTGTAATAATCAAAATGTCGAAATGTTATAAAAATATCCTTTATTGGTGTCATGAAAATGGTGGAAAAAAATGACGTTATACTTAATGCTCAACTCATCCGAGATTACATTTTGTTCGCCATTCGGAAGTAATCGAAGCGCAAATGGAATGGCGATATAATGATTTATGGCCATTCAATTTATATAACATTGTTATTTGAATGATTTTAAATACTTTTAATGTGGATGGATTTTCTAATCGGTTATGCTCATTCATGTTGGTGAATTTATAACCTATTCCGTTGGTATTCCGTTGGATCGTTAATCATACAAGGCATTAATTTCATTCAACACTTCAACGAAATGGAATGAGAATTAACTCTTGTGCGTTTTTTTATTCATTTGTTTCTATCTTGCTCTCACTCTTGATTCAAGCATCTCAAGTGCAATTGAAATGTTGAACGAAATAAAAGTACTTGACGAATTCAAGTCTATTGACAGGATTATAATGCATAAATGGGGAGTTAAGTCTATTTAATTAGTTTGAACAAGAGAGCCTGAGATTTCTTGTCGATGAATGGTAAAATAATAGAAATCATTTTCAATTTAAACTTCATACAGGCACACATCCACATAGTGTTTATTCTACCATAACAGGATAAGAGAGTTCGAGTAGAAAATCGATAAAGTGTCTGTTCATCCCACACAAAAAAAATTGAAAATAAAATACATATTAGTTCAGTACGTAGTCAATGATTGCATCACAAGCACAACGAAATTGAATTTTAAAAAAATGATCCGACTGAAATAGCATTTTGCCATCCATATTTTCAGCCACGAAAAATCCATGTTGTAATTGGTTATTTTTTTTATATGTATTACTTTGCGCCACTCTTTTGGTGAAAATGTTGCACAAAGACAGCAAAGGCGGCATCTCTTGTCAGCTCTTTTTCCTGACTAGCCGCCATATGATTGTATACATTTTGTCGTCATTATTCATTACATGTTTTAAGACTAAAATCACGGATGAAATTCATTGGCATTATCAGCTCGTTTTGCTGAAACGATAACAAGTTAGAGAGGATGGAGAAAAAACACACCGCATCGAACAGAAGAACGGTGAAAGAGAGTGAGGAAAATGGAAAATGTTATGTTGCGATCAATCTGGCTTGCATTAACATCGTAATAATTTTATTACCATCATCACATACTTTGCTTTTAAGCACCCGCAGACTAGACATGCATCAAAATGTGTACTCACAAATGCAAAATACAGCACTCAATTTACGTGTTCGACCTAATTTGCGGGGAAAAAATTGAAACAAGCACACGAAAAGCACACAAGGCACCATCAAAGGTTGGTGCTGCACCATAATTCTAAGCATATTCCGGAATCGGGCAAAAGATTTCATACTCTCCTAGGGGGTTCCGACTTAAACGAATGATCCATATGCGAGCGAATTTTTCCTATATATTTTGCAAATGTAAACGAATGGTCGCAAATGTTTCTTACAAATTTTGCGAATGGTGGCGGATGTTTCATACAAATTTGCGGACGGTGTCGAATGTTTCATACACATTTTGCGGATGGCGCATATGAAAAGTCATATTTTTACATTCAAAAAGTCAAAGTGACAGATTAGGTGACAGAGATTCAAGCCGAATTGATATTTTTTTTGGTAATATTGAGTGAATTTTTTTTAAAATGGTAAATAAATCTTTGCCACTCGTACTCGTAATATTATCACTGTAAACGGTGCCTTGTGAAAGGTTTTTATTTTCATTGACGTAACTTTCAATTTCTTTTATATTATCTGAATTTATTTCTAAAATCTCACTTTTCGAATCGAATACGGCTTCTAAAATAATATTCAACAAATAATCTTGTATTTTTTCTTCAACTGTTTTTCAAATTTAGTTGAGAACAATGACATTGTGTTTGAAACTTCCACGACAAACTGAACACAGCAATGTGTATGTACAAATGTCACACGACAGTTTGTCGCATCTAGCAAGACGTATGCGACATTCGCGAATGGTTGCGAATGAAATGTACGAATTTTCATATATTCCGTATAAAATGGCATTCGCATATAGTAAAATGCCCCTTGATACTCTCTTTTTTGCCTCAAAAGTAAGTTCAATTGAGAAATATAATATAATATCCGACAATTCACATGGAAGTTGATTCGGCCTCTCTTTCGTATTTTTTTTGTATGAAATTCATTTCACCTGAAATTGCAGTGGGACTCTGAATTTTTGAATTGTGCTTTTTAATAACACTCAAAACTAGAAATCGCTTGTAATTGAAATGCATGCACGTGAATTTAAATTGCATCGTTTAAAAGTTTCATCGATTAAATTTACTGTTAATCATCAATATAAATCTCATTAGAAAAGTAACCGATATTTACGAACACTTAAGCCGGATTTCAATGTATCAGCAATTGGACTCATATTTTGTTGTTTGAAAAAGCAGTGTCGCGTCCATTCGGTAAATTTAATTGTATAAAATGGAATGGTGTGTCAGTTATCCTTTTATAGAATCAATGTAAAATTGGCATTTAAAATGTGATGTGCCAATCAGTGATGGTTTTGAAATACATTGGTATAAGCCATTTTTAATGTACGCATCCTCTTTGTTTATATGCACATCAATTTCAGTGCTAAATTAAATACGATGTACACTTCATTT